GTCCTCCAGCAGTCTAAGCCTATAGCAGCATAACTATAGAGATAGCTCAGGATAACCTGAGCCACTCTAACTAGAAGCTTTATCAAAAAGGAAGCCTAGCCTTAGAGTTGGTGTTGACATGAAGCTGCTGCTTTAACTGCTTGGTCATTCTGCCTGATGAACGCCATCGTTATGCCAAACAGCACAGAAACAAACCTCCTGCTAAAACCAGACAAAGTTCAGTTCAGCTTTTCTAACCAGCTGTCGACTTCCTATCTGTCGTTAATGTTAATGTTGATCTTAGAGTAATTAGTAAAGTAGAAGGTCTGTCCTTTAATGATGTGATCTAACTGGCTTTATAAAGGGAAGGCTTTCTATTCAATGCAAACAGGTTCATGCATCTCATAGACTGTTCCTATAAAGATAACATACAACTTAACATATCCTTAGGCACAGAACCTTTATTTCTTTACTGATTAACGTTAAATTCATTAAATCACTGTGAACGTATTAGTTTTAGATATCAATAATGATCCACTGATCATTCCTCGCTGACAGGACTTTTCCTTTAATATGAGTTTACCATCAACCAAAGGGACAACATTCTGCTAAACCTCCTTTAATTCACACTCTTAGACTTAGACAGATTTATTTTTTCATTTTGTATACATGAGTGTATACAAAATGACAGCTCTAGACGATTTTACTTTTTAAAGTAGAGTAATAAATAAATAAATAATATAAACATATGACTGTATTTACAGTTTGAACTTTACATTTTTTTTTCTACTCATTCCCAGGGGTGGAGGGGTACTTATAACTTTCCCTCCGTTTCCAGAAAACTGTTAGTTTCTTCTTCCTTTAGCTTTGCTTAGCTTTGCTGGACGCCACTGATCTACAGATTTAATGACGTTCCTCAGATGAGAGAAACTCAGGGCAGATATTATTAGTATTTTTATTAAGGCGTTAGTTGTTTCCATGAGGCCAAGTTGTTCAGCAGGATGAGTCTCAGATCAGAGATTTTAGTTTCTAATAGATTCAACCTTTAACCTCTATTCTATGGAAAATGAATGAGAAGAATCCAGACTCTCCTGGTTTATTTTTGGTTTGTTTTTTAATAAGAAATGAAAAGCAACATATCTGCCCTTATTTTTTGTGGCATTTATATACTGAAGTTCTTTCCAGGTGGTGTAGAATCTATAGCAGGCGGTTCTATGCATCAATACATCAGGAGGTTTCTGAAAGTTACAGGTTCTTTAAAATGACTGAA